TATAAACTAGTATTTCCTTGAAATAGTAGCCAAACACATAACATTGCACAGTCATCTAAATCTTTTTTCATTTTATTTATTTATATTTCAGTTTGCAGTACTGTAGTATGCCTATTTTTATTTAAAATTAAATGTTAAACAATTTTTAAGCTAGAGAATTGGATCTAAATGAACTGTGGATGTTAACATGACTGACCCATTGGGCTTTTGTGCGTAATGCTCAGTCGTCTCTTTGTGTTATAGGATGCTGAGGCTATTTACCAGTGGCTCTGTGAGTTTCAGCTTGAGCAGTACACATCTAATTTCCTCACAGCTGGCTATGATGTGCCCACAATCAGCAGAATGACCCCTGAGGTGAGCCCTCTTTTTGTGTATCAGCATTTAAGTACACAAGCTTACGTTTGCATCCCACACAACTCATTGGTGTTCACTACTGCATTCAATAGAAATCAAAGCTGAACTTTGACTATTAATGTTTTAAGTGTATCAATCTGTTTTTTATGTTTTAGGATCTCACTGCTATTGGCGTTACAAAGCCTGGCCACCGCAAGAAGATCTCCATGGAGATCGGCAACATGAATATCCCAGAGTGGTTGCCAGATTACATTCCAGTAATTTAGTGCTATATATGAACAGTTTTAAACATTTACACAAACATACAGTGCTGTACAAGTTCAAGGTTATCACACTAATGAGAGCTTCAGGAGTTAATAACCAGATAATAGCTAGATTCATATCACAGACATTGACTTTTTATTCTTAACCAACAGAGGCACTGAAGATGAAATTTGTATGTTTGTTTCAGTCTGAAATTGGGAAATGGCTCAGTGCTATTGGGCTGCCACAATACCAGAAAAAGCTAGCAGAGAATGGATATGACTCAATCAACATAGTGCAGGATATCACATGGGAGGATCTACAGGAAATTGGCATCACTAAGCTGGGTAAGTGCATGGATAGATACACTACTGTTGATTTTTTTTAGTGGGTTTTGAAAAAAGTCTCTTTTGTTTACCAAGTCTACATTTATTTTATCAGAAATACTGTAAAACAATAATATCGTGAAATATTATTACAGTTTAAAACAACTCTTTTCTATTTTAATATATTTTAAATGTAATTTATTCATGTAATGGCAAAGCTGAATTTTCAGTCTTCAGTTGCATCTTCAGTTTCAGAAATCTGTCTGTTGTGTGGATTTGTCATTGAAGAATTTCTTTTGAACTTTTCTTAAGAAATTTCGTATTATAATCAATGTTCAAAAGAACTGTGCTGCTTAATAGTTTTGTGGAAACTGTAAAACATTTTGAATGAAAAAACGTTATTCATTTGAAGTAAAAATCTTTTGTGACATAATAAATGTCTTGATTGTCACTTTTGAGCAATTTAATGCATCCTTGCTGCATTAATGCATTGATTTCTTAAAAAAAAAACGTACTGACCAAACATTTGATTGGTACTGTAGATAGATAGATTGCACAAATGCATTTAAATGGTACTGTGGATTCAAGCCTAGATCATACATTTTCAGTAATGCCCATGTACACAAGATTCCAAAACCACATTTCTGTTTCTAAATAATGTACATCTGTGGATTGACATTTTGTTTATCTATAGGCCATCAGAAGAAGCTGATGCTTGCTGTTAAGAAGCTCAGTGACGTCCAGAAGGCACGTAAGAACCAGGCCGAGGGGCAGGCATTGCTACAGCGCAGGAGAGCTCCTCCCACCCTCGAGCTGGTGGCCATCGAGCATATCGACAGCTCCGAATGCCCCTCATCACCTCTATCACCAAAGATGCTCACCTTCCAGGACAGTGAGCTGAGCGTTGAGCTACAGAATGCCATGGCTCGCAGCGGACACGGTGCAGGCCAAGATGGTTTCGTAAACATGAGTGGAACATCCATGCGTCTTAGTCAAGAAAGCATCGGTACACGGTCAGGAGGGTCAGGACGGTCGCAAGAACGTCCAATGGCATCGGTAACACCCAACAGCCGCTCACAAGAGAGCCTAGGCAGTATGGACAACAGTCCCAGCAAGGAATCTCAGGATAGAAGCCAAATATCACCTGTAAAAATGGCACCAGTGTTGCCGCTACAGCATCATCACCCCTCATCTGGCAGTCCAGTAAGGACGCCACCCATAACTACTAGTAAAATAGCACGTTTCGCATATCCACCCGTCCTCACCAAACCTAGACCGGTGGTTTCTCCCTCTCAGCCCCATCATGGATCACCTCATCAGAGGGGCTTCAACTACCTGCAGCATCAAAACTGCTATGCCAACATGGGAAGCCCAAGTCCAATCAGAGCCCCGCAGCCAAACGGGGACCCATCCCGGTCCAAAAAGCGCACTCAGAGTCTTTCACGCTATGCTATGTCGGATGGAGAGAATGAAGAAGATGACATCTCAGCCCCTATGACAACAACCACCAATGTGGCGTCTTATGCCACACTCACTCGCAAGCCCGGCCGCAGCCAACCCTCTTACAGTTCCAGTGAGCGCCAAGTGGGCCGCAGTCATTCCTTCGCCATACGTGCCAAGAGGAAAGGTCCTCCTCCTCCCCCTCCAAAGCGACTAAGCTCTGCCCCAAGTGGGGCAACTACAAGTGGGGTTGAAATGGAGAGTGCAGGAAGTGTCAGAAGCATTGCAGCCAGGCTGGAGAACAATACAGGAAGCCCCAACAAGGCATGTAACAGCCTTGTTTTTAAAGCCATGTCCCCAGCCATCTCGCCAAAAAATATGGAAAACCGTAGGAGGACCACTAGTGAATCTTCAACGTATGAAACGAAGCATGGTGGAGAAAATCCTGCTGGTAAAAACCTCAGCCCTCTGAGGAACCAACAAAGTTCAACATCATCACAGGAGAGCATACCTTTCGCAGAAGAGGGCAAAGTTACCATCAAACAAAGGACCAAAATAGCATCCGCTAAGATAGAGTCTGAGGCTGCTGTTGAAATTCTGAAGTCGGTGCAATCTATCAAATCATCCCTAGAGGTGCCTGAGTTTAACTTAAAGGAATCAGACACAGTCAAAAGGAGACACAAGCCAAAAGAACTGCAGATGAAAGGTCAGGGCAGCAGCATGCAAATAGGAAATGAGAGGGCCGCTGAGACCGAGATGGTCTCGCAATGCATGCAGAATGGTGGATTGACAAAAAATCCTTATAAATCTAGTCTCTCTCCGAAACCAGGATCTCCACATAAACCTCCCACCCCTTCTAAGCCCACACGCCATTCTTCTGCAGCAAACTCAGGTACTGCAATGTGATAAGGCTGTTATTTAAAATGGGAAAGAGCACTATGTATATTTTTTTTAATGTGAGTTTGAAGATTGTATGAGAAAATAATTTTTTTTTAAAAATATTTTACAATTTATTTATTGAATTTATTTAAATTTATTTTGAACAAATACTTAACTACTTCCAAGCATACACTACCAATCAAAAGTTTGGGGTCAGTATGATTTAATTTAAATAACATTTTTTATTTTTTAAATAAATTAAGTACTTTAATTCAGCAAGGATGCATTCAATTGATTAAAAGACAGTAAAGACATTATAATGTTGCAAAAGATTTAATTTAAAATAAATTCTGTTCTTGAAAAATACATCACACTTTACACAAAAACATAAAGCAGCACAGCTGTTTTTAACATTAATAATAATAAGAAATATTTATTGATCACCAAATCAGCATATTAGAGTGATTTCTGAAGGATCATGTGACACTGAAGACTAGAGTAATGATGCTGAAAATTCAGCTTTGCTTCACATTAATGATTTTTTTAAATCAATAAATGCAGCCTTGGTGAGCATAAGATACTTTAAAAAACATTACTTACCGACCCCACACTTTTGAACAGTAGTATAGTTATGAATGTGTAGGTCTTATAGGCTCATTTACAGCAGAACTGTGTTAATGCCTGAAAACAAGATGCTTTGAGGGCATGCTAGAGATGATATCATTATATTTGTCATTCTCAGCTTTATAAATCAATAAATGCAGCCTTGGTGAGCATAAGATACTTTAAAAAACATTATAAATTACTTACCGACCCCACACTTTTGAACAGTAGTATAGTTATGAATGTGTAGGTCTTATAGGCTCATTTACAGCAGAACTGTGTTAATGCCTGAAAACAAGATGCTTTGAGGGCATGCTAGAGATGATATCATTATATTTGTCATTCTCAGCTTTAAATATCAACATTTATTTCCATCAATTACCAATAAATCACATCAGCACTCATGGATCTGAAAATTGGTCTTTATATGCATGAGGTCTGATCACACATTAGAGGCGTTTAAAGATGTTCCTCTTAATCTGTCTTTATTTACAGCTGTAAATGTCAAATATATATAATACAAAAAAAAACTAATTTTAAATGATCATTTATATAAAAATAATTTCCCCTGTTTAATCATATAAAACACATTTATACTTAAACTTGATGCTTTATTTGGAATTTTTTAATTTTTGTGTGTAAACCCATTTTACTCAAAAACATATAGGGCATAACTTTATTGTTTTATTCATCAGGATTGATTGGATCAAGTGTTATTTTAGCGTTTTTATGTATTTATTAATGTAATTTTATATTTTTATTATATTTAAATTAAACAAAATTGTATGAATTCTTATGTGCTTTTGTTTTTTAATATATATTTCTATTAAGCTTTATTATTAGTTTACTTTCAATTTTAGTAATATTAGTACTTCAACTAACAACATTTGTCATTTTTTCAAATGTAAGCTTCTTAAGCATCTAAAATTTGTATTTTATTTTAGCTTTATTTCAATGACCAAAAACGTTGAATAATAGTTTTAGTTTATTAAATAATGCACTAATTGATGCTACTGAATTAGAAAACTAGCCCTGGGATCCTCACATACGTTTGCCCATGGTTCTATTTATTAACGTATGCTCTTACTAAATTATTGTTCTATCTCCACCTTTTGGCTGTGGTCAATTTTCTTCAGGAGTGACAGTCAGTGTCGTACAGAGCGTGGCCTTTGCCGTCTCACCTCCCTGTAGTCCTCTGGCTCGCTGTCCACCAAACAAAGCAGCTCAAGGTCAGTCTGTACTGGCAGGAAAGCCACAGGCTGTGACGGAAGGCCAGAGCGTGCTGGTCCACAAACGGCTTGAGCAAACCAGCACGTCTCTCGAGGCAGCACTTAAAGTTGTGGAGAGGAAGTTGGCTCAGGAAGATCCAGCAGACAGGTAACACCAACCACTTATGTTTGTATGTTTGTAACTGTCCTTTTTGATATATAATAGGCCAGTAAATATATTAAACAGCTTGAATCCACGTTTTCCACACGGTAGAGGAAATTCTGTATTCTGTATTTCGATGAGACAGGTTTGCAGATGGTCCTATAATGACTGAATGACCGCTTGTCACAACAAGCCCGCTGGGAAATCTAGCAATAAGTGATCTCCCTTCAACTAGTGTGTGTTTTTCCTTTGACTCTGATCGTTTTGGCTGCGATGAAGACAGATTGTTGATGTCCTTATCTCATGGATGGAGACAGATGGTGTCTACAATTTGGACTTTTCATTTGACTCCCCTCCTATTTTGTCACAACAAATCCACTCTCAGCAGTGTAGCTGGTCAATCTGTCTGTGTCTAACCACATTTTGCATTTTGAACAGATTTAGCTCATAGCGGAGCATATGCTAATCCAAGATAAACCCCCTGTCATAGTGTTTTAAATATATAGATGTTGTGAATCTAATCCTGACGGTCTTGACTGGTACTGATGCTGTCATATGAGTTGAACACTATATACTGGGTCCCCTTTTTTAATTTTAAATTTTTTAATTTTTACATTTTAAACAGTATTATGCTACTGTACCTTATAATATGACATCAGCATTTAATTATATATTAATTTAATAGCATGATATATTAATTAATTTAGTAATAGACTACTGTTCAATAGCTTGGGGGTAGTAAGTGTATGTATGTGTTTAAATATATATATATATATATATATATATATATATATATATATATATATATATATATATATATATATATATATATATGTGTGTGTGTGTTTGTGTATATATATATATATTTATGTATATATATATATTAGTGCTGTCAATCAATTAAAAAAATTAACTAATTAATCACATTTTTTTCCTGAAATTAATCACGATGAATCCTACCTAACATTAAAGTTTTTAAGTGTACTTTTATATTGCGAATAATTTCACATTCAATCTTAAAATTAATGTAGAAACAACATAAAGACAGTAAAATTTTAATATTTGTTTAATGGCATCTTTTTTTATGACTGAAGGTGAGTATCACTGCAATACTACTGATGTCTCTAGGAAATGTTTATTTTTTCCTAATATTTAACCATTGACTATAGCCATTCAACACCGTATTTGAGAGCTACAAATTGTAACATTTATTAGACTTAAAAAAATAACAACTTCTAATTTAAGTGAACTTATCTTCACAATCTTCACATAAACCCATTATAATAAATGCCATATATACCTGTGCCCTTCAGCAAGTAGGAAGTATACAGAAATTGAATATTTATATTGAAGTTGTCAACACTAAATTCTAAATTGAATATAGATGAATCCTTAAAGCTACAAAAGTTATTGATTTCTTTTTTTCTTTTGTTCTTTGATGAACAGACATCACAGTAGCTGGGTTATTATGTATTTGGCTGCTATTACTTTAAGAGCTGCTGCTGTGAACATGATGCAGATCTGACACGCATGTTCGTAGTTTTTGTGCATGCAATCGAAGAGCACGCGCTACGAGCACAGTATAACGGCTGACAGGACAGGAAAATTAGATTTTACTGACGACATGACCTGACAACATCTCATCTAACCGCAGTTCACTGTTGTTCTGCTGAAGCTCCTTGTCACCAGTACTGTTTCTGCACTTGTTTGACTAACGCCTGGAGCTGAGGTGAAGTGGAGTGCGCGTCTGAAAAGTCTCCTATTTGATGTGGTCATAAAGACGTTCTACGTCTAAATGAACGCAATCCTTGTCAAGAAAAAAAGAGACAGAAGCAGCATTTGTGAGTGGGGTGGCCAACCCTAGCTCTGCCCATGCGTTAACGGCATCAAATATATTTAACACCGTTAAACTGGAAAAATGAATCACCTGCATTAACGTGCTAATTTTGACAGCACTATATTTATAAACAATAAAAACAGTATTATTGTGAAATATTATTACAATTTAAAATAAAAAAATATTCCCATAATGGCAAAGGTGAATTTTCAGCAGCCATTACTCCATTTTTCAGTGTCAAATAATTTTGATATGCTGATTTGGTGCTCGAGGACCTTTTTTTTTTTTTTTCAAAGCTATTGTGCTGCTTAATATGTTTGTGGGAATGGTTATACTTTTTTCCCCAAGATTTCTTTGAAATAGACACCTTTTGTAACATTATAAATATATTTTCGGTCAATTTTTATCAGTTTAATGTACCCTTGCTAAATAAAATACATTTCTTTAAAAAAAAAAAACTAGCAAAATCCAAACTTTTAAATATGCATATTAATTAAATGTGCATATCAACATATTATTATTTGAAATAAAAATTGTTATTTTGCCTATATACATGGTTAATGTTATCTCCGGTTCAGCTATCACACTGAAAGTTGAGATGCATTGCATTGAAGGAAACTACTCCCACAGTGCATCTCCAATAGTTGCTCATGGTCCTGAAAATTGCAAACTCTCATTGAAATTGAAAATGACTACAGGTTGCTGTCAGTGTAAACACTCCTTTAATAAAGGGGTCATATGACGTTACTAAAAAGAACATTATTTTGTGTATTTGGTGTAATGAAATGTGTTTATGCGGTTTAAGGTAAAAAAAAAAAAACACATTATTTTCCACAATGTACATTATTGTTTCTCCTCTATGCCTCGCCTTTCTGAAATGCGTTGATTTTTACAAAGCTCATCGTTCTGAAAAGCGAGGTGTGCTCTGATTGGCCAGCTATCTAGTGCGTTGTGATTGGCCGAATACCTCAAGCGTGTGACAGAAATGTTACGCCCCTTACCATACTGTGATGCCGTGTCCCGGCTCGACGAGACAAAACCAATAAAAACGCATTACAAACGAGGCATTTGTTGCATCCAGTGGGGACATAATTTCTGATTATGACGACTTATACGGTCTTTTTACGCATTGCGTTGCATCACGCCGCGTAAACATAAAACCATGTCTGCATTTGTGATTGGAGAGACGACAAACAACAAGCGCTACTCTACACTGCTCAAAACTCGCGTTTGAATCATCAGTGGCAAATGATCTATTGTTAAATATGAAAACATACTTATACTATCTTATCTATTCACGAACAGCTTGTAACACTTCAAAGAGAAAGGAAAACTTGAAATCGCATCATATGACCCCTTTAAGTCATATACTCCCATATTAACCTTGTTCTTTCTCTTCTTTCCCTCAGGGGCATTAACACAGTGAAGTCAGCCGGGAACATTCTTGATGATATAGGGAACATGTTCGATGATCTTGCTGACCAGCTGGAAGCCATGTTGGATTGACCTACTGTAATTCCTACAGGTATAACCTTCGTGTGGGGCCTTCACATGGGAGCATCTGGATGTTTCAGACATGCAGTGTCTAACTTCTCACACCTTGTTTACGCACTTCATTTAATATACCAGTTTTAATGGACCGCAGTGCGTCTGTTGGCTGGATCGTGCCTCAAATTTCCGAAAGATCCACTTGAGAACTTCAACATATCTTTTACCAAACTATTGCTTTCTGCATCTTCATCTCGCTCGGACAGGACGTATCTGCAGTAAATATTGCAGAATGTAAGCACTTACGGTTCAGATCTACTGTACTAAAGCTCTTTCAACAGAGATGCTTTAATTTCCTGTTGTGCTCACAGTTGGCCTCTAGCAAATGGATATACGGTGTAAAATCAAAGTGAGATACAACCTGAACTCGGTTTCAAGTGCTCTGAGATTCATCACTCTTCAGTTTTGTTTTCTGTAGACTGAAAGATCCTGTTCAAAAGCAATAATACAGCTGATCAAAAACATAACCAAGAAAATGCTTGATTTATTAATGACCCAAACCTCATGGACCAAGTATGTTTGACTGTACTGTAACTATAACTATTAAAAAAAGGTCCATGCCAACAGATTCAGTGTTGTACAGTATATTTTTAGTTTCACTGTACATTGTATGTTTCAGTCTTTGCATAAGAATTCAACTAGAGCTTAACATGTTAAGAAAATGATGACTTTTCTTAGCATATTAATAGTATATTTTGACAACCGTTGTTTGGGAAAAGAGAAACATTATATGGATTACATCTATTATATATTTTTGTACCAGAATGATAATTTATTGGGTTTGTCAGGTTAAAAGGGAAAGTCCCTCTTTGTGAATTCTGAAATTGAGAAGCAAAAATAGAAACGGCAAAGCACTACATTTTTAGGCTTGGCTGACCAAAAGGGAACTTTTATTTTAATAAAATGGGACCCATGTGGTTAATAAAACACAAAAACATCATCATCTGGTAGAATATACAGGATAAGAAGTGTTCAAATGGAGCATTCATTTCTGTGACTCTTGTGCACTTTTACCAACTTTATGTAGAGTATGCACTGTGTATCTTTTATTGTACGGATTTATTTCTGCATGTACTGTACACTGGCAGGACAACTAGCACTTGACTGAAAGAGACCTTTCTCTAACTGTTTGATGTAAACTACTTTGTTCAAAAGAATTGTATATGTAAAAACTGTGAGAAGACCATCCTGTTCTTGCATGCTTTCTTTTTGTAAGCAACAATCTGGAATTATTGGTTTTGGATTACGTGGCATAATGATATTTTAATGGACAGCACCGTTGGTGCTACAGTATCATTTAAATGAGCACTGTGTACTTTATTTCCCAAGTTCATTCCTTACTGCAGTGCTTTGTGCGGCATTGCGCTATGTTGCTTTGCCTGAGTGGGGCCACCAGTACCATACAGTAAGTAAAAATAGGCCTCTAATTCATTGATTTGAACTACTTGAAGTATTATGTTTAATAAAATCGTCACGAGAGCTATCCTCAGACTGCTCATGTCAAAGTGGCTCTAACATTTGTTTTATTATATAGTATTGGATCATTGAAGCTGTTGTTTGAACTCGTGGCATAGAAATGATTTTTGGTTTTATTGTAAAGACAAAACACCAGAAACAGTGGGAATAAAAATGAAAATGGGTTGATTTAAATCAGAAGCACCCGGGAGGGAGAAAAGTGCAGAAGAAGAAGAAAGTGTTCAGCCATTGAGCCAGCTGTCCTGACATTTGGTGTAGTCACAGATCTCCTCTGGTTTGAACCACAGGTTGATCTCGCCGTTGGCACTTTCGACAGAATCACTGCCGTGAATGATGTTCCTGAAGTGAATGCAATATAATATTAGCAAAAACAAGTGCAGACAAATATGCACCAGACAAGTTTGGGGTTTGTAAGAATTTAACGTTTTTGAAAGAAGTCTTAATGCTCACCCAGGCTTGCTTGCTTTATTTATTATTAAAAAAAAAACACACCGTAAAAATGTATTATTGTGAATAATATATATATATATATATATTTATTTATTAGGGGTGTAACGATGCATCGATGGCACACGTAAAATATCGATATCTGCCGTATAAATAGGCACCTTTATTTTGGCACGGTCCACATTTTCACAATGTCCGTCTATGCATTACTGCAAACGCGTGCATTCTCGTTCAAACTCACGTATCAGGACTCGATATAAGGACTGCCCGAAGGCACAAGGTGAGCATAAAAGACGCTCGGGATTGTTTGCGGAACAGTCGAGCACTGTGTGAGAAGTTTTCTGTGCACGCTCAGACAGCCGCGAATACTACTAAATTGAGCTCTCTTCCGCTTTTTTTTGCATGGATGAATACAATTACATCAAAATGCGCGTTTTGGCGAATATCCTAGTAAACACAGTCGGTTAGGCATATGTCTTAACGTAAACAGCTGAGAAAGAAAAAGGCATGTATCAGTATATTAAAGGGGTCATATGATGTTGCTAAAAAGAACATTATTTTGTGTATTTGGAGTAATGAAATCTGTTCATGCGGTTTAAGGTTAAAAAAACATTATTTTCCACATACTGTACATTATTGTTTCTCCTCTATGCCCTGCCTTTCTGAAACATGTCGATTTTTACAAAGCTCATCGGTCTGAAAAGCGAGGTGTGCTCTGATTGGCCAGCTATCCAGTGCGTTGTGATTGGCCGAATACCTCAAGCGTGTGACGGAAATGTTACGCCCCTTACCATACTGTGATGCCCTGTCCCGGAGCGATGAGACAAAAACATTAAAAAACCCATTCTAAACTAGGCATTTGTTGCATCCAGTGGGGACATAATTACGGATTATAATGATTTATACTGTCTTTTTACACGTTACGTTGCATTGCATTCACAACGAAACAGTGTCACACACGGCGGGCTAGAGTGAGCAGAGGTCGGCTTGAGTGAGCGGCAGCCGGCGGGCTTGCGACAACCACATGTGACGACCCCAGGCTGGACTCTGCTTCGTCCACGGTGAAAGCCGATCCGGCGATCCACAGCACAAAGTTGATGTATTTCCTCAGCGACCAGCACGGATCAGTTCTAGGCATGACGAAGTGGATATTGTCCTTTTTTGGAAGGCCTTCACGACATGGCGGCGGCGGCAACAACAATACTACAGCAAGAATAAAAGTTATGCCTTCTTTCTTTGCGTGAACATTTGGGCGGCGTTATGCAAATCTTCGTTTGCTGATCTGAGTGGATGTACACTTAAATATTAAATGTAAGAGCATTTTTCAGGCTCTTTATAAACCATCTGCGGTTTAAAACACAGTCATCAAAATGTTATTTTAGAATACAGAGTAAGAACTTACCGGACAACCTGAACACAAAAGTCACCTCGGATAGTCCCAGGCTTGGAGTCAATGGGATTAGTCTCGCCGAGCATTACTCTGCCGGTTTTTATAACGTTAAAACCCTCCCACACCTAAAAATATATCAGAGAAATAACATTAGTCACCTTCATAAAATGAATGAAGAATATTTATTAGCAATAAGCCAGAAATATTATTAAATTCAAAGTACCCTAGAGTCGCATTGTGGGGAAAATAATATAAATAGGTTTACCATGGCAACCACAGGGCCAGAGGACATAAAACTGACAAGCCCTGGAAAGAAAGGCCGATCCTTCAGGTCACAGTAGTGCTGTCTCAGAAGATCCTCATCGGCCTGCGTTGAAGACAAGCATACAAAACATGAGCAAAAAAAGCCTACAAAGTTTTGAGAATCTCCTCTAATCCCACATACCATTTTGACCTCAACTTTTTTGTGACTGAATATTTTAAGGCAATATTTACTGTAATGCGATGGTCACATGGGGATATATATAGCAGGCGCAACTTTGCAGACCACAAGGACCTACAATTAGAGTAATTGGTTTAACCCTTAGAAGACAAGTGTGTCTGAGAGAGCTTAAGTTCCCTCACACCAAGAATAGAGCTTTTCACAATTATAGACTAAGGGGAAAACATGTAACAAGTTTTAATCTGATAAAGTTTTTTGAAAGTCATATGTGACCCTGGACCACAAAACCGGTCTTAAGTCGCTGGGGTATATTTGTAGCAATAGCCAAAAATACATTTTATGGGTCAAAATTATAAATTTTCTTTTATGCCAAAAATCATTAGGATATTAAGTAAAGATCATGTTCCATGAAGATATTTTGTAAATTTCCTACCGTAAATATATATAAACTTAATTTTTGATTAGTAATATGCATTGCCAAGAACTTCATTTGGACAACTTTAAATTAGATTTTCTCAACATTTAGATTTTTTTTTGCACCCTCATATTCCAGATTTTCAAATAGTTGTATCTCGACTAAATATTGTCCTATCCTAACAAACCATACATCAATGGAAAGCTTATTTAGAAGCTTATTCAGCTTCCAGATGATGGATAAATCTCCATTTAAATCTATCAAGTATCATCCTTTTGCTAGATGATGCTGAGGTAATATTTGTAGCAATAGCCAAAAATACATTTTATGGGTCAAAATTATAAATTTTCTTTTATGCCAAAAATCATTAGGATATTAAGTAAAGATCATGTTCCATGAAGATATTTTGTAAATTTCCTACCGTAAATATATATAAACTTAATTTTTGATTAGTAATATGCATTGCTAAGAACTTCATTTGGACAACTTTAAATTAGATTTTCTCAACATTTAGATTTTTTTTTTGCACCCTCATATTCCAGATTTTCAAATAGTTGTATCTCGACTAAATATTGTCCTATCCTAACAAACCATACATCAATGGAAAGCTTATTTAGAAGCTTATTCAGCTTCCAGATGATGGATAAATCTCCATTTAAATCTATCAAGTATCATCCTTTTGCTAGATGATGCTGAGGTAACAGCATCAAAAACACATCTGTTCTGCCTTTATTTGACCCTCTAACTCTAGCACTTTTTATTCTATTTTAATTCTACTTTATATTTATCTTTTTTTTTTAATTTAAAACAAACAAACACACTAGCTTTCTATTTTTTTCTATTCTATCTACTATCTATCTATTTTCTTTGTGTGTGTGTAGGTGTATAAAAATATATATGAAGAGTTCAGATGCAAAAGCCTCTAAAAGCCATCTTGGTCAAAAATGAGAATGATACTGAGTGAATGCTCTCCACACACAGCATATGTTCATCAAGACTTGGCATTTGCACTTATATATTGTTGCTCTTTTGTTAGTTTTGACTGCTTTTATTGTCCTCATTTGTAAGTCGCTTTGGATAAAAGTGTCTGCTAAATGACTAAATGTAACAGAACGTTGATAACAGGAGAGCTGAGCAGTGATGTATATGTTTTACTGCCAAATATTTTTGAAAAATATCCTACCCTTACGAAAATGAACCATGGTTTTATTATAGGCCTAGTAAAATTATAGTAACCATGCTTTTTTGGCATATTGACTACCATTTGTATAACCACAGTTTTATAGCCTACAAATTCCTACCATGGTTAAACTAGGTTAGTGTTGCAAAACCATGGGGTAACCATAATTTTTGTTTGTTTGTTTTATTTGTAAAAAAAAAAAAAAGGTTAATTTTCGTAAGGTGTAGACTACATGTTAAATAAATCTGTTGTCACTTTCGCCACACACAATACAGACACGCACACAAATAAACTGTGGATGTAACGGCCAACTATAAACGCCAAATGACGCGCTCTCAGCGCACGGTTTTACTATTAAAAGGAAGTCCCATCAAAACAGTTGAGATTAAAACTGTTAATTCAGTTTACCTGGATTAACTTCATAGCAACTAACTTGAAGCCCTTCTGTTCGAAACGCTTTATGATCTCTCCGATAAGTCCCCTCTGCACTCCATCAGGCTTGATGGCAATGAACGTGCGCTCTTCATTTCCAGACATTGGGCTAAAAATGAAATCAAATACCCGTAAAACATACACAAGAAGAAAAACAGTTGCAATGACAGAAGTGCATTCAAACTTACGCCGTCGCACACTTGGCTGCAGGTGTGGAGGGGGGTTTGGCTGATGAAACCCCTGACCCCATCATCACTAATTACATGTCAAGTGACAGTGAGAGACCCTTCCTTCCCTGTCTTAACCTGTATTGACGGCTTTCTGTAGACTGACAGCTTAAACCGTGAATAGTGCTCGGATCTAATAGCTGTCCTCACGCATCCGGGTCCCAGCACGTTCTCATGTTAACAAACTTCATTTATATCTCTCTTTTATAAAAAGACAACGAAGGCTCAAATAATTATAATTTTCATTTGAATGCGACTTTCACATTTAAACTACACTTCTAGAAAACCATGTTTTATAGCTATAGGCTACTTATATTTGGTCAACTGTTGCGCTCACATTTGTTTAACAAATCAGTGGACGCGCTTAATTTGAAATAGCGTAGATCTGCGCGTGTGCAACATAGGCTACCAATCGTTTCAAATGTACCAGGCCATTGACATATTTGTCACATTGATAACAGTAATAAGATAATAAAAATTGAGTGAAATGTTTTTCTTACATGTTCTGACGGCAGTCCAAGAGTCTGAAGTTGATTCCTCACGCGTGTGCTGTCAGTAATCCACGATCATCAGCTGGAAGTGTTTTATGGAGGTGGGCGGAGACTGATTCCAGTGCTATGGCATTCGGGGATTTTTTTATTAGTGATGATGGGGTCAGGGGCTTCATCAGCCAAATCCGATGGAATTCGAAAGTGATACGCAAAACATATAGGCTACCTTTTTAAAACCTTTATAAACCTTTACAAATATTAGGTTGTTTTTCCCCACTAGGATAAAGTTCTTCTAACTTTAAACAGACATCTCGTCTGTGCATCATTCTATTGCCCCAGCAACAGCAGCAACAACAACAACAACAACACACACACACACACACACACACACGTAGATGTGTCTTATCTTATTTAGACTATATATTTACAATCTATCACACACACACACACACACACACACACACATATATATATATATATATATATATATATACACACACTCACACACACATGTGTCTTATCTTATTTAGACTATATATTTACAATCTATCACACACACACACACACACACACACACACACACACATATATATATCTATATATATATTTCGGGCTTGCAACACTTTTTATTCCAGTGAATATTTCTGAGAGTGAGTTAAGTCAAAATTTTATAGGAGGCATTATTTAGACAGGCATTATTATTTAAAAGAACAAATTGATGATCATGATAATAGTAATAACAACAATAATAATTATAATAAACAATAATACTTTACAGTTTTAAATTTAGATTTTAATGTAAAATTATAGGCTATTTTTATTTCAATTTTACAAAACATTTCATGTTTATTACTATTTTTTCTTTTCTTTTCTTTTGTACGCATCCCTATTTATAAATGCATTAATAATTGAAAAGGTTCACTCATTTAATTATTGTTTTGTGCTTTGTCTATAGTGTAACTTTAGTATCTTGTCAACATTCTTTTTAACTGAGCTCTAATGAGTCACAGTGCTTCTAACGTGTAATTGCATATCAAAATTCATTATGCAATCATAGCATCATTGCAAAGCACATTAGAGAATGATAAAATATCTGATTCGTTAAGTGCACCCAAAGCAGTTTATCCACAGGGCATTAATCTAACAGCACAGGGCCAGCGAGGGACTGATCAGAGCTCCAGTTACACCAAGCATTACATTTTGTACATTCATGGCCATTATCTGTACAACATATTTCCCTGGTGTGAGATTTGGACCCATTAGACCATCTGTACAGTTAAGAAATATACTGCAAATCCCTCAGCATCATATACTGAGTTAATCCTCATGCCAGTTACTTATTCTCACAGTATTGCACGTTTGGTTGTGTTTTTCTCCCTCATGTGCCCATATTTGGTCGTTCCTGTTCCAGTCCTCGGTATGTCTTTATTAGTTAACCTCCTTTCACCTGTGTCTTGTTAATTAGTCATTAGTTCCTCTTCCATTTGTATAAATTCCCTTCCTTTAGTTCTCTGAGTTGTCGGTTATTGTATGTGGTTACCCTTCGTGTATTGATATTCCCTTCATCTTTCCCTGTGGATGTATTTAAAAAGAATTAAGATTATCTTCGTTGTATGCTCTTCTGTCTTCATTCCATCATGTAAACGTGACACTTATATGCACTTCCACACACTCTTTTCCACAGTTCCATTAAATGTTTTATGCAACTGTCAGTTGTGTAAATCTCAGTCCTCTTAAATAAAGTATTGCACTGCACTGACAATACAATGAAAAGCAGTGTGGAAACGAGTCTTCATTGCTCATACAAATAAGTGCCTTTTTTATATTGGCCAAATTGAAAATCCTGGGATCTGGATTAAACCTGTTTTGTTCAGGGCTTTTTTTTTTTTTTTTTTTTTTTGGTCAAAAAGAATAGTTAATAGTATATTTTTAAAAAAGTATGTGTAAAAGATGTGTTGGCAAGCTTTACTGACTGCAGAATTTATTGTGATTTTTTTATAAATATTTATTTTTCGCAAGAAAACAGAAAATATTATTTAAAAAGACATCTCAATAAACATTTAGTTTTGGCTTATGTCTAAGAAAATATATTAAGTATGTTATATGGTCTATTCAATAACCTTTTATTTGCATGAATTTTAATGTCTTTAAGGAAAATAAATATATTTGATTAATGTTAAATCAAAATGTAAGATTTTAACCAAATCATAAATATGACTTTGTCCAAAGTAATCATTTTCACATGCACTTCTGCAGTCATATACACATAAGGAAAAAAGAAACAGAGAAGTAAAAACACAATGGTTTTTATGTAGCATTACTCAATAATGCAGTATGTGCAACTTTTCATACAATATATATACAACCCTACATAAGTTTTAGTGTTCTCAGTCTGTTATCCATTTCAAATATGACCCTGAAATGACAAGAATGACTGCTGATAAAATCGGTCCAGTTTTAGCAATAATTCATGTTTGCATTCTCAACCCATCATTCCTATTTGCAGTCAATGCAGTTTTGGCAACAGAGGGATTTATGATGCTAACCCTGAGAAAAAGAGAAGAAACAAACAAGTCAAATGTCCCCAGTAACCTAAACATTCACAGTGTGCAATGGCATGGGTAGTCATATTACCGACCAACATTTTTGTAGCAAGAGTTGGACCTTCACAAGTGAGTGTCAATTAAACAGAACCTGACAGGAACAATAATGTGGTTTAAAGGTGCAGTCACATTTACCGTTCTGTGAATTTTCAAGAGTGTAATCCATTCAGTAGGAATCCATGCACCATAACGCTTGAGGGTGAAATATTTCCCCACACAGATTCTGAATTGTTTTCAAGTTGGTCAAGAGAATTTATTGCATTTTCCAAGAGAAAGCTACTTAGTTTGAAAGTGACTTCTCTGAGACTTCTTACATTGCGACACACTTGACAATAAAAATAGACCTTTTTGCCCTCGAAATTTTAATATGACTGCAACTTAAAGGAATAGTTCACCCCCAAAACAACAATTTTCTGAATATTTTCTCACATACTGGCTATCCAATACAGATGAGTTTGTTTCCTCATTGGAACAGACTTGGAGAAATTTAGCATTACCTCACTTGCTCACCAGTAGATACTCTGCAGTGAATGGGTGCCCTCAGAATGAGAGTTCAAACAGCGTAAAACATTACAATAATCCAAAAGTAATCCAAACAACTCCAGTCCATCATTTAACATCTTGTGAAGTGAAAAGCTATGTGATTGTAAACGGTGCTTGATCTGTGCATATTTCTCACCTGATTCAGATGAGCCAATTTTTTTACTGGAAAAAGCAATAAAATGGATAGAGGATTTGTATTGTAGCTGAAGTAAAACATTACAATAATCCAAAAGTAATCCAAACAACTCCAGTCCATCATTTAACATCTTGTGAAGTGAAAAGCTATGTGATTGTAAACGGTGCTTGATCTGTGCATATTTCTCACCTGATTCAGATGAGCCAATTTTTTACTGGAAAAAGCAATAAAATGGATAGAGGATTTGTATTGTAGCTGAAAACAACAGTGTGAAGTTAAAAACGTCAGTTTTGTTTTCTACAAACAAGCAACTTTTTCACTTAATGAGTGACGGCACCCATTCACTGCTTAGGATCCATTATTGAGCAAGTGATGTAAATTTCTCTAAATCAGATCCAATGAAGAAACAAACTGGATTGGATGGCCTGAGGGTGAGCAAATTTGGGTGAACTATTCCTTAAACACCAATATGAATCCGCAGTTTATCATGTAGATCTTAGCTATCAACTAGAGGGACATGACACTCAGGGCTCGTATTTCCACATCCTTCCTTCTAACATAATATGCACTTATCTGACTAAATGGATAAATAATCCTCTACTAATCTCTCCAACAGTACTAGATGGTTTGAATTCCATGCTCTATTTTTACCAGGGCTTAAAGTAAGGATTAAATGAAGTAGCTGCCAAAAGGTTGTGTGAAGTACTGCCTCCTTCATAGTGACTGTAACTTTGATTTACTGTAAGTCATTACAGATTTTGTTCTTTAACCCTTTTTCAGTTTTTATACACATCGCTTCTGTAAATAAGTATTTTGCGTACTTGATATCAAACCCTGTTATTTGTTATACTTGATTAATGTGGCAGAATATCAGTCAATCAGCACAAAAGCATTATGCAATTCTCGTTGAGGTCTAACAGCTCTGGGGAGAAACTGCTGGAAATATATCAGCAAGTAAAAGGTCTATTGTAAATTACACAATTTTCTCTTCTATCTGTTTCTTTTGCTTTTAATCACATTTGTACTCTAGCAGCTTTATTCAGGTCACCTCATGTAATTGTAAATCCCTGTGATTTTTTGTGCTCTAATTTTCTGCATCATTTATTTGTCTGAGTTGTTGCAGGCAGAGTGCACAGAACCAATAATAAGCAGGTATTTTTAGTGTTTAATTTCCTTTCATGATTAGAGACTTCATTAAATTATTAGTTCTCAGATGAAGTCTGCTCCAAAGTTAGAAGACAAACCAAAAAGTGAAAGGTTGTTGCTCTTGCTGGCTAGAAACTTTAGTATGACGAGGTTTGGAGCAAAATGGAATTTTGTATTTGAAAGTTACTCAGTAAAAGTAGGGCCTATGTCAAAAAGGTTTTTGTGTTTTTCTCCTCTAAACTCTGCTGCCTGCC